ACAGACCGGGCATTGAATCCATTGTGGCGTTGAATATACCGGTGAACAGAGCGGCCGATATGAGTGGCGTCAGGGCTTCGATGGCCGACAAACCGCTGAACACTTTTCCCAATTCATCCAATCGTATGATCTTTGAAAAGTGAGACCTAATGCCGATTGAGGCCACGCCTCCCAAACACCCGCCGATTAGCGAGTAGTAATAGCCGGCGGGTGTCAGCACAAGACCTCTCACCAGATTTAATATAAAATATGAGACCAAACCCACCATTGATAGTGTAGTGTCTCTAAATTTAAACACCTATGTGAAATTTAATTAATTTTATTATCATAATTATAATTTTAACAAATAAATAAGTTAGAAATTAGTGAACAATTAACCATGCACATGCATTTATACCTTGAGCAGTATGGGTGCGATAATCATTGTGCCCGCAGTGATGGCAATGATTGCAATGGAGGCGCCGTTGCTGTACGTCATTGAGTCCCAGGCGTACACTTTCTGCGTGAACTGATACATGAAGAACACGGGTCCGATGTGTGACACCATATAGCAGGTCATCGACAGAAACAGTAGCCATATCTGGCGCCGCAAGTGGTTTGGCCGCCGTTTAAAACACGTGGTAAACATTTGCTTAACGTTACCCAAGTTGAGCAACAATCTCAACGGGTGTTTGGCTTTGTTTGCGTTAAATGTTTGTAATTTATTTCTGATGATAGTTTGCTGACCATCGATGTCGGTGTCCGGCATTTTGCTGAAGAGATGGACCCACTGTTGGATATCCTTTTCCTCGTCGACCATATATACGGTCCATAAAAGGGCTAATGAANAGAGATGGACCCACTGTTGGATATCCTTTTCCTCGTCGACCATATATACGGTCCATAAAAGGGCTAATGAATAGGTCACACCTGTTATGGCAAACACACCCGAGTAGTTGTGTAATTGACCCCCGCTATTAAACATAGACCCGGTGTTTAGCACCAAACCACCGATATATGTACCCAAAGGGGTAGCTGTTTATGGAAATAAATAATTTGTGTTAATTAATAATTAATTTATCATAAAGAGATTATCACAACTACAATGTTATTGTTATAAATTAATTAATTTTGTTTAAAAATTATTTTTTCCCAACAATAATAGCCTAAAATTTAATAACATTTTTACTTTACTCTAAAAGTTTGACAAAAGGCTTAGGGATAAGTCAATGGCAAAAGGTTTGCCATCGTATAGCACCGGGAGGTTTATGGGACTTATGAGACGCAATGACATCGTCTAAAAAGTGTAGCAAATCGTCGGACAAATCCAAGAAATCATCGAAAAAGCCGCCAAAATCTATGCCGAGAGGGGACTACTTCTTCGGCGGCCATCCGGAGCCGGCACTGCTGTCTAACCGACAAACATTTCCCATCAGTTTTAAGTACAAGTGGGCTGACGTGGGCCCGGAGTACGACCAGCCGGAGCGGGCATTTGGCGTGAGTCCCGCTCTCGTCGAACATCACCGGCGAGTGTTCGCACAAAACGAGTACGAATTGGTCGACCCTATCGTACGGTCGGTGAGCCATCCGTTCGCCGACCAGGTATGGGTCGTACGGCACACACTCACCGGCGCCCACGGGGCCTGTCGTGTGGCCAGCCTTCGCCACTACGAACGGCCCAACCGCG